CATATAATGGATAACTTGTTCTGGTCACTCGTGGGCTGAGATATGACCGATGGAACTTTATATGCAAACTCTCTAACCCACATATTCATTGGTGAACCATGCATACAAGGTTATTTTGCCACAAATGTATTTAGCATCGTTTACCTGCTCATGTAGTTCTATTTCCAACTCTTGATTTTCCAATCCCAATAATGTGATCGCTTTGCTTGCTCGACTGCCATATTCTCCAACTCTCGAAGGAAACATTATTGTATGTTGTTGGTAAAGTATCTACCTTAACGTTCAAATGTTTTCATGAAATAAACTCAAGTGCTTTGTACACATTGGTTCCAAGATAACCCGACTTCTTAATTTGAGGTTATATGACTGAATTACAATCGTAATTCCCATTTTAATTGGACCGGGCAGTTTTCGTCAGTGTCACGATAGACACAATTTTTCACATGACATAATATGGACCAATAGTTCACCTCAACATGACAGTCCTCTTTGTCAACGTTGACTTTTTACCTTTATTGGAATTGGTGGCCTATATGTGTATGTTTGTGTGTGTGCGTGTGCGTGTGCGTTCTCTTCTAAATTTTGTTCTTTCTCGACCCCTCTATCTCCCACCTGTTACAGATGACACATGCTATTTAAATTTGATCCAATATAACCATCGTAACGTGATACGTGAACCATAAACAGCTGTTTTTTGTGTGCGCGGCGCTCTACTTACCTCGGGAGAGTAATTTCCGCTACTTTTTTCACACATAATTATTACTGAGATGTTATTCATGTCTGCACCTGTGTTAGCGCCAGGGATTATTGAAAGGCAGAGAGTGAAGTTTAAGTTCACGCTTCGGCTCGCGTACATAAATCATCATCGCGCCCGGACTGTATGTCAATAACTTATCGTCAATTTGACTATCGATCCCTAGATCGATACATTCTGCGCACGTCTGAAGCAAAAATACTACCTTGCCTTCAGAGTGTCTTTCAATACCTTTCCTGACATGTTGTTTTTATATCTAATATTTTATATCTATATTTATCTGTATTCTTTATATCTGTGACACTCGCAACTGAAGCACGGATATAAACAGGATGTGGGTTTGTCTCAGGAGAAAACCTTTATAGACACAGATCCGAAAAAGTATTGTTATGGAGACAATTGTTTGGTCCGAATTACAACACAGATAAGCAGTTCTTTCTTCACCAGTCAATTTGGTTGCCCGGCAGAGATTTCGAGCAAAGGCAGTGGCAGCTCACATGTTACATCTACGTCAGTCCTCAGAATACTGACAGAATATATCTATTCTTGACCTTGCCATTTTGTAGATGTATTCGGACACCTTCTGGAACCTGAATCATCAAGCCTAACATCGGGCTGACAAATGTGTTTTTCTTCACATCTGCCACCAGTAACTTAAGCTACCCATAAACAATTTATATCTGCCCCGGCCTCTCAGGTCTTCACGCTGGTGGCGCCTAGTTATCTTCACGGTACAACACTACAGCTCCCATTACTCCAAAACATACGTCCCGATGTAAAAGTGTTTTCTATTAATATCATGGACTTATGTTATGGTCTTGCTCGTGTTACGAAAGTTGTCGGAATAACGTTATTTGAAGCCTGACTGTGCATACATTCGTCTTGCAGGTAAGTCGAATTAGGTTTATTTCTAGGACCTTTCCAAGCAACTGGTAAGCTATGAGTAAGGAAATGCCATTCGTTGCCTCTTTGCTACCCTTCCGCTGTTTTGCTAATCGCCATGCATATGTTACTTGTTTTATATTAGGTATAAAAACATGACCTCATTCTGGTTGAGGTATGTAAGCCTACTTCAATCACAAAAATATTGATATCTACCATCGTTGTCGTCAATCGTAGATTATTTGTAGGTTTTTTTAATAAATGGCTAACATTAGCAGCTGAAGGGATGGTATAAACCCAGCTAGGAAACCGTGCAGGAAGCAGAAGTATTGTAAGTCCCCACGGCCGTTAGTATGGTGGCCTATTTTTCGTTGCTAGCGACCTCTAGCCCACTTTTAAAGTGTATTGTTCTCTTTAATAATATCGTTTTATGATTACATGCTAGTTTTACCTTATCTGTGACACTCTAATAGTTTTACTGTCCATCGTCAACAAGTTTTTAATTTCTAATTTTAGTGATCTTTAGCATGATGAATGATTATTGTCGTCACGATATGGCTGAAATATTGCTGATGTGACGATAAACATTAGCTCACTTACTCATTCATTCTGGTTTATCGCTTGTGGGATTTAAGCCCCAGAAATGTATCGGCGTGACGCATTTGAGTAAGTTCATTGTCATCGCAATGGATAGTTTCATCTGTAATGCTCTATTAGTTATTCACTGCATTATTTCTTGCTGGTTGTGTCGTATTTCATTATACATTGAAACACGAGCAGTGTGGAATTTGTTATAATGATGGTAATTTACATATCAACATAGTTACACATGCCTACATGCTGCATGCCATAACAATATGTACTTGGTTACATGTGCCTACACGCCTCATCCTATGACAATATGTACTTGGTTAAATGTGCCTACACGCTTCATCCTATGACAATATGTACTTGGTTAAATGTGCCTACACGCTTCTTGCTATGACAAAATGTACATGGTTAAACTTGCTTACTCTTCATGCCATACCAATATGTACATAGTTTAACTTGCCTACACACTTCATGCCATGACAATATGTAAATAGTTTACCTTGCCTACACACTTCATGCCATACCAATATGTACATAGTTTAACTTGCCTACACACTTCATGCCATGACAATATGTACATGGTTTAACTTGCCTACACACTTCATGCCATGACAATATGTACATGGTTTAACTTGCTCACTCTGCATGCCATGACAATATTACATGGTTAAACTTGCCTACAAACTTCATGCAATGACAATATGTGCATGGTTAAACATGCCGACTCGCTGCATGCCATGACAAGGTGTGATCAGACATGCCCTTACATGCTGCATCCCATGACAATGTGTACCTGGTGAAATTTGCCTGCCTGCACGCTTTATTCCATGACAATATATAAATGGTTAGCTTGCCTAATCGCTTCAGGCTATGACAATACCAACACAGATAAGGCTATGACTATACCTTCCTGGTCAGCCTTGCATGCATGCAGAATGCTACATGATGGTGCATATACGTAGTGTAACTCGCTATGACATTGCACGCTGTGACAATACCAAGAGACCTGATGTCATCACTCTGATATTTTGTGACCACGTTTGTATGCCATTTTACATCCAATAGCACCTGTTTCGTGGGTTAACAGCGACTTGTTGTAATTATTTTCTGGCACCGTCGTGCTATGCTTGCATGTAAAACAACATCATTACTCCAACAGCGGTTACGTTAACATAGAAGTGTAAACACTTGATATGATAAGACCATTTCTGGCACCGTCGTGCTACATTTACGTGTAAAACAACACCGCTACCGACCACAGCGTGTAGTGGTTATGTTCACATGCCTTTTCGTTTATAGACGTCTAGACACACGATATGATAGAACATTCCGCAGATGACATAATCCATTAGTGCAATACACAAATACAAGGAAAAGGAAACTTGCGGAATGAGGATAATTGGCATTCCTACTATCGTTAACATAACCGATGCGATTCCTTCCCGATTCCTATTTTCTATAAGCAATACCCACACAATGTTGTTTCATATTTGTTCTTTGATTTTTCCAAGTGATTTATTTATCCTTTTTTCTTTCTTGCCTCTCTTGCTAGGCGTTAAAATGAACATGATTATATTGTGGCATGCTGTACGTCGTGAATATAAACACCGACTGCGAACAGCTCAACGTGAAAAATATAACTGTCAACAACATGCAACCATTTGTCACCTTTTAAACAAAACGTACAAAAAAACATATCAGTGATCAAGATCCTTGAAAATGTTTATACTTGTGATGGTGATAACATTTATTCAAACATTATGTTTAGAATTAATAATAAATGGAAAATATACGTAACGTATGTTGAATGTAAACTGCTGTCAGTAACGAGTGTGTAAATGTGAGGGAGAGGTTAAGCACCTGCCGGTTCATGGAATGGTTTACTATCTGTTTTGCTCGAATGCTGATTAAACAGCGTTGAGCTTTGACTGAAGATGTGTTAAGGTCTCCCTCTCTGGTGGATGAAAGAGTGAGTGAGTGAGTTTAGTTTTATGCCGCACTCACAATATTCCAGCTATATGATGGCGGTCCTCTGGTGAATGGTGGCATCGTTCCGATCGTTTTGAGTGAATGGGGACCAGAATAGAAATAGAACCCAGTGAAAAGCATAAAACTGACAAATGGGCTCTGTTTCCATGGAACTATTAATAGTTTTCATTGAGTGACAATGGGCCACTGGGCATAATGAAAATTATTTGCGTGGTACGCTGAAAAATCATTGATGACACCACCTGGTACCCATTCAATGAAGGACCTGTGAAAATCCTGGTTAGAATTGGTCTTCACCAGCCTATGCTGGTCGTTACCAAGTGGTCAGGCTTGCGTATCCCAATTGCGTATATCGATGCTCATGATTTTGATCACTGGACTGTCTGGTCTAGACTCAATATTTTCAGACTACCTCCATAAACATGGAATTTTGCGGCGTTAGACGATAAACAAAACAAATAATCATTCTACAAAAGGATTTAAAAGAAACCTCTGCTAAAATATGTCGTTTATGCCAACAATACTATTTCATGAGGATCTGGGTATGAATCTCGTCCATGTTCGCTTAAAGGTGAGCTTGGAATGTGCCATCCTTCGTACCTGTCGCAAATTGTTGCAAAGGCCCGTCGATTGTTCATCTGAAAAGCACACATGAACACATGGCATAAGTCAAATAATACTGGTCACATTTCCAAACAATATCTGTTTTCCCAGCAATAACTTATATTTAACCGCAATTCAAAACACTGTCACTCTCCTATGTATTTACTTTGACAGCATCAACATGACAGTTGGACTTAAGAGGCAGCTCGGCGTCATCAGCGCCATTAGCTACGTCACCGGCGGCATCATAGGAGGCGGCATCTTCGTCAGCCCAAGTTCGGTGTTGGCTGGTGCTGGAGCATCTCTAGGGCTCTCCCTCTGTGTGTGGGTGTTTTGTGGCTTCATTAGCTACTGTGGAGCTTTGTCTTACGCCGAACTTGGTAGGTGGTACCCAAGTGACAAATCAAGAAGGGAATAGTATGGTCTCCAAATTTTGTAGGTGGTAGATAAGTGCAGAAATACCAAATTTGCTAAGTGTTTGTCAGTAACAGTTTGGTGCCCAAATCGGTAAGAAATAAAATAGTGTTGAAATCTGTTTTTCAACTCTGTAGGGACAGTTTATTGTTATGTGGTAAACTTGGGTCGATCCCTACAGGAGAGAGTCTTGCAAGAGATAATATGGACCGTGATAAAGAATCACTTCTTTCGCAAAAACATTTGTAAACATGGATGCTTACATCGTTAACGTTGTTCAGTGACGAGTTGTGATTTCGATAATTTGAACTGAAAGTGTGGCAATATATTTCAGTCTGGAAACATGACGAACAATAGTCTATTAAGTACGATAACGTCATAACGTCACGATGCCTGAACTTTCCATCGGAAAAATTTAATGACGTTGCAGTGGTGTTGTACTGTGAACAAAACAGTGGAAAGATCACTTCGTTTTTCATATGCTAGTTTGATTAATGCCAGCTAGACATCGAGGCTCACTGAAGTTGTTCAAATGTTGGTGTGAAAACTACGATTTACGTCCACACAGGACACATATGTGCAGATTAGAAACGATCTTAACTGACATCTGAATTCGTCATTTCAATCTACTGATAGAATTTGGACCACTCGATGACACAACACACATTTTTGTTTTGCAATTGGGTAACAGTTGAAGTGAAATTAACTAATATTCAAGAAGAATGTCAGTATGACAAGACCTGCCAAATAATATGTGTATTCCTAAGGGTATTTACCACTATACACAAGCGTCATATATCATATATGGCATTCTTACATGGCCCATTACAAAAGAATTTTCATTGCTCACAAGGCTCACTAAAAACAATGCTTTTTCATAATACAGACGATATTGCCGTCATCATCGAAACACATTCTCGCGATGACCTGTGTTGGTCTGCTGTTTCAGGTACTCGTATTAAGAGATCTGGCGGAAGCTATACTTACGTCAGAGCAGCCTTTGGAGACATGGCCGGATTCACTGTGTTGTGGGCTCAGCTGTTTGTTGTGCGCCCTTTAGCGGCCGTATTGGGAAGTCTAGTCACTGCTGAATACATCATGCGGCCTTTCTATCTGAGTGCCCAGACTTGGCGCCAAAGTCAGCCAAAGTTCTGCTTTGCTACAGTTATCTTATGTAAGTGGTAGATAAAAAATACTTTCTTAAGTTTGAATTTAAAAGCGTCACCGATTTTGGCATGACTTTCAATAAACAAAACGTTATATTGTTCCTGAAATTAAGGCAAGGTTGCGGAAGTCCATTGAAAGCCATTCTAATACATGGTACTGTAGAAATGTGTTATAGGAGAAGTCAAGGAAATCTTGTCAACTTCGTAAAGAGACCTAAAGGATCTATTATCCGTCATATTAATCTCATATTAAACCTGTAGGAAACTGGTGTGAGTGAGTTGAGTTTTACCCCGCACTCAGCAATATTCCAGATATATGGAAATTGAGGGTGAGCGGGTGACCAAGCGGTAATCCAAGAGAACTGTGTCACTTACTCTCATCAGAAACTGATAATCAAAGGTTCTAAGGGGTCGTGGCCTAAGTCAATATGGTCTTGTGATAGATGGCTGACGTGAGATATCGCGGAGCCCTGGGTCTTTGGTATAGGTTGACAAGCATTACATCGGGGAGATTTATGTATAATGTTACATTATGGGTCAGGCCAATAACACCAAGCTCTATAAAAAAACCTCTTTCCATTTGTTTCCACAGCTTTCATTGTGGCCTGTAACTGTTATAGCGTTCGTGTTGCTGCCGGAATACAGACAGTATCCACGGTCTGCAAGGTCAGCGCTCTTGTCGTCATTATAGTAGCTGGCCTCTATCACCTTACTCAAGGTAGGTCGATTGTCTGCAAGGTCAGCGATGTCAGTGGTCCATGAACTACCAGGTCAGCAATCTTGACATTATAGCCACTGCCTTTATCGCCTTACATAAGATAGGCCCACGATCTGCAAGGTCAGCGTCCTTGTCATTATAGCCGCTGCCTCTATCGCCTTACACAAGGTAGGTTCACGATTTGCAAGGTCAGCGTCCTTGTCATTAGAACCCCTGTCCTCTATCGCCTTACACAAGGGAGGTCCATGATCTGCAAGGTCAGAGCTTTTGTCATTTTAGTCAATCCGAATTACTAACTATTTGTAAAATCAACGCTCCGTCGTCACCATAGCAGCAGACGTGTATCACTTTATACAGCATTGTTCCACTGTCTGCAAGATCAACTGAGTGCGGCAGCTGGCATGTATCACCTAATGCAAGGTAGGCCCACTATCCGCAGGATCGATTCCCTCGTTGTCACAAACCAGGAGGTGAGTATCAACACCCTTGGTCACATCCATGTCAACTGGGGTCTACGTAAGTGCCTGGTCTAAGCTTAGTCCATGTCATTATCTACAGGTAATTTCAACAGCACACATAGATCTGAAAAACACGTTTTAACTGCTAAACAGTATCCTTAAATCTGACAATTTTTACTGGATTGTGCTCTTTATTCATTTGACGAGAGCAAATGAATATGAGCACGATATCATCATGCATATTCTTTAAACAATTCCAGATTTGTTACATGTTCAGTTTCTGCTATACTTGATTTGGGTTTGTCGTGTTTTAGAATAGCATGTTGCTTTCATAGGTCACAATGAAAACTTTAGAGACCCGTTCGTCATTAGCGATCTCAACCCAGGTGGCTTTACCTCGGCTTTGTATGCTGGGCTGTATGCATACGTGGGATGGTAAGTGTGATCATGCTTTATGTGCTGGGCTCTGTTTCAATCTTCTGGGATCATATTGTATGTGTTGTTATGATTGTATTCTCTGTATTTCATCCCACAAAGTTTATATTTTATGTTCTAAATATGATCCAAATGTGTGTCAACCTGCAAGGATCATATTGTATGTGCCAACTGTCTGTATTTCATCCTGCAAAGTTTACATTGTATCTTCCAAATGTGATCCAAATGTGTGTCAACCTGCATGTGGCTTTATAGTTGTATTCTGTGTATTTCATCCCGAAAAGTTTATATTTTATGTTCTAACTGTGTTTCAAATGCGTGTCAACCTACAAGGATCATATTGTATGTGCCAACTGTCTGTATTTCATCCTGCAAAGTTCTCATGCGCTAAATGTTATCCAAATGTGAGTCAACCCTCAGGGATTGTATTCTGTGTGCTAATACTGTATTTCATTTTGCAAAGTTCTCAATCTGTGGGCTAACTGTGTTTGTGTTTTATGCTGCAGGGATCACATCAATAATGCAGTTGAGGAAATCGTTCAACCACAGAGGTAAGCAATGAATTTCAACTGGTGCTAAACTGTATCTGATGTCCATTCACTTCAATTGAACAAACACCTGTCACTGTACCTAAGGTGATGCTAGTGACGCACGTTACCAGCATCCAACATGGTGGCAGGTAAGATCGCTTGGCGATTATTCCCCTCGAATTAGCAGTCTTCCACGTGTATACAATCAACATTATTCAGCACACTGTTATACTTTGATGGTGGAAATACATTGAATGTACTGAATTTGCTTATTAATGTCTATGTGTTGAAGAATAAGAATTTTAAAATCGCGCGAGGATGTCGGTAACTCAAAGTCTGGATGTCGGTAACATGCAATGAATGATGCTGGTAACGCATACTGTCTTGCTTTAGTCGGTAAACAGAAATTGTCGATTTATGTTTAAATACAAAGGAGATACAAAAAAAGTTCTTATGTTTTACACAGATGTGTACTGTTGGTACATTAGCAGTATGAGCTAATGTTAATGTAGCAAACAGTACACATCTGTGTAAAACATAAGAACTGATATTTGTATCTCCTTTGTGTTTAAACATAACTCGACAATTTCTGTTTACCGACTGACGCAGGACAGTATGTGTTACCAGCATCATTCACTGCACGTTACCGACATCCAGACTTTGAGTTACCGACATCCTCGCGCGATTTTAAAAAATTATATTCTTCAACACATAGACATAATTAAGCAAATTCAGTACATTCAAAGTATTTCCACCATCAAAGTTTATCAGTGTGCTGAATAATGTTGATCGTATACACGTGGAAGAACTGCTAATCGAGGGGAATCCAGACATCGTCTTCTGTTGGTTACCCAGCCACGTTGGCATTTCTGGGAACACAATGGCCGATTTTGCTGCCAAGGCAGCACTCAACAAATCTGTGACACCACTTCTTATTCCATACTGTGATTACAAAGCTAGCATTACAACTTACATCCGTGATCTGATGCAAAGAAGTGGGACACGCAAGTAGGTATCTATAAATTACATGCAATAAAAACAACTATCGGTTACACCTACTTGTGTTGTCAGTCAGATTTGAAGAGGTCATCATACGACGATGTCGTATTGGCCACACAAGATATACTCATGAGTACCTATGAACAGGTGAGGATCCTCCGTTTTGTATCCCTCGTGGTGAAAGAATCACGGTCAAGCACGTCTTGCTTGACTGTGTTGAATATTCCATCACAAGGGATATCTATATTAAATCACGAACTCAGAGAAGGATCTTTTTAGTAATATAGAAGTTCTCATTTAATTATTGCCTTTTTAAAAGAATAAGATTTGTTAACTGATTTGTAGATGGATAAATATTTTATGATTGGAAGTTTGAATTAATAACTCAGATTGTTAGTGGCTGTTTCCTCAAGGGGGGTTAAAGTACTGTAAAATTATTGTCCACCTGAGAGGATACGTACGTCCACAAACATCCAGAGTAAATTAAAACTCTCCACTATTTTAAATCGTAGAATATGTGTGTTTTTAAATGAATGGCTAGATTTGTCTACGTTGCTAACGGCTGAAGGGATGGTGTAAATCCAACTAGGGTCCATGCAGGAAACAAATGTACTGTAAGTCCCCATGGACCCTAGTATGGTGATCTACCTTCAGTTGTTGGCGATCTGTAGCCAGTTTTTATATTGTATTGTCCAAATAGTGCTATTAGTTTTAACTTTCCTCACTAGTTTTAATTGTAATTGTGATATTCTAGTTGTTTTACTGTCCTTCGTAGACAGGTTTTTATAATATCCATATATTCTATTTCAATGTCAAATATGTTCTTGTCACGATATGGCTGAGATATTGCCGATGTGACGTTGAATAGTAACTCACTCATTCACTCACTCACCTTCAGTTGTTGGCAATATATAACCAGTTTTTACCTTGTATTGCCATCTATAGTTCAACTGTTATAGTTCAACTAGATATAATTACTAGTTTTAACTTCTAATCTGTGATAATCTAGTTATTTTACTGTCCTTCGTTGACAGGTTTTTACAATTTACCATTAATTATTATGTATAAAATTAATTGTTACCGTCACGATATGGCTGAAATATTGCCGATGTGACGATAAATTTTAACTCACTCACTCTAGTCACGATATGGCTGAAATACCGCCGATGTGACTCACTCACTCACTCTATAACGATAGCAATCGCATGGTTTTAGGCCTTTTCCCCAACGGAAACAACTTGATATATATTCATGCAACCAGGTGTTTGGTGAGCGTATGCTGGGCCCTGTCAAGTGGGTGATGGTGCCTTGTATTGCGATGTCTGCTGCCGGTATCACCAACGTCATCATTTTCACCTCCAGCAGGTGCGTGACAGTTGTCGACAATGGCTCTTTTGAAAACCTATGCACATATTTTCCCCAATTACTTTGATATCTGGCAATTACATTCCATCATTCCATCAGGTGGACTGAACCGACTGTTTTAATGGGGTTTTTCTTACATCAAATATACAGTTAACATAGTGGAAATAATTTGTTTATATGTTTGTTTTGGAAAACTCTAAATTTGTGCACTTGATAAACTCCAACGATTTTTGTCTGAAAAGGTTAAACTTCGTTGGCGGCAGAGACAACGTCTTCCCTCGATTCCTTGGAATGGTGAATGCAGAAAGGAAGACGCCTATGCCGACAGTCCTACTCGTGGTAAAGATTTTTGGGCATTTAGTATTAGGTTTTTTCATCTACATGACCACATCCAACCCGCCACACATCAACAATCCTGAATTTGTGTCATGTTAATGGTTAATTCCATAGTAATACCAAGTATTCTCGTACAATAAATGTTTCATGATATTATGAGCATGTGACAAGAAGTAATATCACAGTTGGTGTAACAGGCGATGGTGTCACAGTTGCTGTGGCGGGAGATGGTGTCACAGTTGTTGTTACAGGCGATGGTGTTACAGTTGTAGTTACTGGCGATGATGTCACAGTTAGCCAGTTAATGGCGATGTTGTCACAGTTGCTGTTACAGGCGATGTTGTCACAGTTGCTGTTACAGGCGATGTTGTCACAGTTGCTGTTACAGGCGATGTTGTCACTTGTAGTTACAGGCGATGGTGTCACAGTTGTTGTTACAGGCGATGGTGTCACAGTTGTAGTGCCAGGCGATGGTGTCACAGTTGTAGTTACAGGCGATGGTGTGACAGTTGCTGTTACTGGCTATGTTGTCACAGTTGTAGTTACTGGCGATGTTGTCACAGTTGTAGTTACTGGTGATGTTGTCACAGTTGTTGTTACAGGCGATGGTGTAACAGTTGCTGCTACTGGCGATGTTGTCACAGTTGTAGTTACTGGCGATGTTGTCACAGTTGTAGTTACTGGCGATGTTGTCACAGTTGTTGTTACAGGCGATGGTGTAACAGTTGCTGCTACTGGCGATGTTGTCACAGTTGTTGTTACAGGCGATGGTGTCACAGTTGTTGTTACATGCGATGGTGTGACAGTTGCTGTTACTGGCGATGTTGTCACAGTTGTAGTTACAGGCGATGTTGTCACACTCGCTGTTACAGACGATCGTGTCACAGTCGCTGTTACAGACGATGGTATCACAGTTGCTGTTACAGGCGGTGGTGTCACAGTTGTTGTTACAGGCGATCCTATCACAGTTGTAAGAGGTAAGAATTTTGAATGGCACTAATAACGGTGTCCTTACTTTCTGTTTTTGAAGTTCGCCTTTTCGCTGGTCATTGTATGTCTGGGCGATGTGAAGAGCATCATCGGGACCTACTCCTTTGTGCGGGCTCTACCGGAAGCTGTTGCTATAGTTGGCATACTGCGTCTGAGAAGAAAGTTTCCAGACTCTCATGACGTGTACAAGGTTTGAAATCTTTATTTTTGCCAGTTGAATAGAAGTATTACTTAAATAGTCGTGAACGTGTCGTGAATTTGTGAATGAAATGATGATGAACGTTACCGGGATTAAATGGAGACAATCTGAATGCCGCACATTCGCTGCTTACTCCTTTTTTAACAACTTAAACAGAATCCGTTGCAACTACTCGTACACAGGACCAAAGCCGGATAGTAAACCACTGAAATAAACGTAAATACAGTAGGAAATATATGCCATGACCGGATTTACGTATGTTTCCAGAGATTTCCCAACTTCGGGCATATATTTCATATGAATCTATACCTTTGAAACATATGCTCATCGTACATTTTCGTATGCACAAGTACCTCGTTCATGTATGCCATGACCGGATTGTCAAGTATTTCGCAACATGAATTGCAACACAGATACCACAGTTAATACATGATCATACAGGATTTCCGATGCATTCCTTTGAATTTCAATTGGTGCTGAAATTTCCGATTTCGTTTACTCAGGTTGGAAACATGTAAATTTACGGAGGTGGGGAAACACTTGTAATTTTTCAAATTTGCAAATGTTTACACACCTTAGATATTTATGTATTATACCGGATTTCAGGGGTATGTATAGTATGACCAGAAATTATTGAGAATTTTAGGAATATGTTTAATTGGATTTCTAGTATAAACAACCTTGACCAGCTATCAAGTGCTTGGTTTCATTCAAGAGAGACAACTCCGTTAATCCTTTTTCATTAGTTTGTGTAGAGTTATCCCCCTTTGTTTACTTGCTAGCAGACGACATTTTCAGTGATCCTCAGTATTTATGATTTAGAGTAGAGGAAGTTGATTTTAGAGTATTATAACAAGGACATCAGATCAGCTAAAGTGTTTTCAAGTAGAACAGGCATCCCTTTGTCCACTGTTTATCGTGTTTTGAAAAATATTGCAAATGGATATGGCATTGAGCACCAGGGAGGCGCCGGTAGGCCCAGAAAATTGACTTTTGGTGACAGGAGGCGGCTTGAAACCTGAACAAAAGGAGCGAAGGTTGAACTGGTGCTTACAGCATAGAAATTTTAACTGGGAAAATGTGATTTTCTCAGATGAAAGTTCTGTGTGGCTGTTTCCTAATACACTGAAATTCTGGACCAAACAAACTGAAAAACCTTTGTATCAGCACCCAAAGTACAGTACGAAATTTAACGTGTGGGTGGGATATCTGTGTTAGGGGCAACGCCCATCTGTGTATTTGAAGGGAATATCAACAGTGAGCGGTACACAGATATTCTTGAGGGACATTTACTTCCATCTGCTCACGTGTTCTGTGGAAATGTTTGGATTTTTCAGCAGGACAACGACCCAAAACATCGTTCAAAGCATTCACAGGCCTGGTTTCGGACCCAAAATATGACATAATTAGATTGGCCAAGCTATAGCCCTGACCTAAATCCAGCAGAAAATGTCTGGGGACTTATGAAGGAAATTGTCAATAAAAAATCTGATTATTGCTGAAATGAAAGAAGAGGTGTCCGATATTGGGACAGCATGGACCACGACTTTCTAAATTCTTTGATCAGTAGTATGCCCCGCCGCATTGAAGCCTGCATTGCTGCCCATGGTGACTTGACAAAATACTAACTGTTCACCTGTCTTTGAATCTGGAGTTATGTTCTGCTAATATTCACATTTAAGTACAGCTCTACGTAAGAATCATGCAAAATCGAGAATACTGGATAAGTCAAAATCCAGAATTTGGTTTAAAATTTCAGAATGTGATGACACCCACTGTATTAAACATCGTTGTGGATTTTTTCTAAAATATGTGCGCTAGTTGTCGCGATACGCTAATATTTCCAAAAGATCAATGGGAGGAAGACGAGCAACGATCTCCATTGGTTTGCATAGTAAAGTACTGTTACTTTGAAACCAGATTTTGAATAACAGCAAATGTGTGGCATATAACAAAGTATATGTACATATAAAAGAATCTGTAATCTAACCTTTTCCGTCATAAAAGTACGTAAAGTTCTAATTTGAGATGAAAATGTTATTCTAAACGTGAGCGGCAATTCACCATTCAGTTGTCGTCCTTGACAACTTTTGTTCCTCATTACCGCTAGATGGCGTGTTGTTGCTAGGGTGTTGCTAGAGAAGCCACCCCGCGAAAATGGCGGATGCGGAAGCGAATTGTCTGCTCCGCTGCAGTGTTGGCCTGACAGCTGATGGTACTTGCGGAGTATATAGAGCATATCCAAAGAAAATGGTTTAGAAACCCTGGGATCATGCTGTCGGGATATTTCTTCGCATCTGCGGGAGGTGAATCTATGTGGTGGTCGGCAGACGACAAGAGCCCCCGCAGCAGACAGCGAGGGAAGTTTGATTTCCTACCGAATCGGCCTTTTCAGGTATGTTTGTAAAAATCACACTGGTAAGTCATTTATGATGAGAAATAAAAATGAAAAATAAGCATTGCATATATTTATATCGACAGATATGCACTATCCGGAAATCGTGTATCGCTCTATGATATCTTGTCTAACAGTTGCACCAACAGGGATCCATTTTGCGATTGAAACAGATATGGTCGCCGTTCCGCATTTACGAGTAAAATTTGTAAAACGCAACCGAATATTTCAAAACACTGAGCATCAGGCGAACTTTCATGAAAATGCAGATGTTACTGTAGTTTTTTGTGATATTGTTATCAGTCACATGTCGTATTTTGTCCAAATTCAAGCACTTGATGGCTGTTCCGTTCACCTCCTTTTGAGCACACAGTTACAAGACATGTCAGTGTGTTTCCTTACATTTTGTGCTTATGAATTTGGGGGCAGCAATTTTGTATGTAGAAATATTAATATATTATGATTAAAAAATTATGGGAGGGGCATTGATTTTGTATATGACATGCAAAGTGGGGGTTGGGGTGTCACTTACTTTGTACATAAATTTTAGGGGACATTCACATTGTACATGCTTCTCCATAAAGATCATCATTACCCCTGCTGACCATATGTTATGAACAGTCCCTAAGATAACTATTTTACCTCATTTTTAGAATACATAAACCTGTTAAATCTGTAGTACAAGTTATGTTTATTAAAGCCAAAATCTAACAAACAATTTTAAGTAGACTATAATATTGGTTACGTGAGTTACCTGTGCCAGGCTGTGAACAACCCTTGTTGCATATGAGGGAGTAAAATACAGTTTTGTCTTCTTTGAGTGGCATTTTAGAAGTTGCATACATGGGCATGCAACAACCAACTGATTTTATGGATAACAATTGCTTTATTGCATGTATGCAACGTTTCGATATGGGTTCTTGTATCACTGTCAAGCAAGAATGCGAGAACTTATTAATAAAAACATTTTATTAGATAATAACAATTAGGTAAATAAAATACTGAATTTTAAGCTGAATATAGTTTTAAGTGTACATGAAGTTATCATGATTTAAAATTGAAACATAATTTTCAACTGTTTAATAATTAAAGAAAAGAGTATTTTTGTATTGTACACTTGAATGATAGGTATGCAGAGTTGTGTAATATCATGTAACAAGTAGTATTTCTTTACTTTTTACAGGTATGATCCTTCAATGACAGTCTGTCCATATCATCGCTACAGACTTGGCATTCATTGGAGACCATCCAGGAAATATGTTTTCCTCTCCATCAAGGGTCACAGCTGCCATATAAAGGGGTGTCCGTCGACATGAGTGAGACCCTAATGAACAAGATTCGCGTCCTTGTGCCTGCAGGTTCTGGTAAATATATATGTTACTTATTCTTTTGGGTGTTTTAAAGCATGAGCTTTCACCATGGCACATAGTATTGCTATTATGGCTGGGAGAAATCTTGCACGGTAAAACTTGCAAGCATTAACTGGAAGTGGTGATAGTCTGGTTGTTTTCATTGCTATAAGTGGCAGCCTAAGCGACAGTTGGCAGTTCCGGCAATTGCTGATTGCGTGAATAATTGACCGCGCCATGTAGTCTAAACTGTCAGTTCCGCACCAAGCGAAAAAGTATGTTTACAGTAACAGTTCACAACTGCAGATAAATTGCAGAGCCTAGAAGGATTCTAACTTGGAACCACATCGCTCCTACTTTTAAATTCATTTTTTTCCTTTAAATGCTTTGAAGCTGAATTCTCATCTATTTGAAAATCAAGATAAGTTGTCAAACGTTTATTTTGTCACATTATGATATTTATCAGGGAATTCCTTTCCATGAGTTTGAATTCCTAAAGTATAGCAGCTGCTTTTTTATATTCGACTAAAAAGAGTAAAATCATTGAAGTAAATGTCATTTTAATCTTACTTGATATTTTCAGGAATCTGTGTGAAGTGCTACAATGTTTTCAACAGTACCTACAAGGAGGTTAACCAGTCATCAAGTGTAAGTTTCTTAATCAAATGCTCAACTCTTTAAGAAATATGTTCAAAATTTTAGTGAAAATACATATTGAACCATGTCAAACTTAATATAACAAATATTAATGTATGACCAGGAGTATTTAAAATTGAGATATGGTTAATCATAATGGCTATTTAGAAGTTACTAGTATCTATTTATTATAATCATCACTTTTAAATGATTTTAGGGCCAATTTTCACAACAAATTACAGGAGAAGATGTGTCTACATCAAGATCAAAAGCATCAGAGGTAAAGTCAACTTCATCTCCTACACACATGTATTAGTGAATATTTGTTATGTTTTAAACCTAGAGCTCCCTCTCCATGCTTATTTATGTATATATTACATACATACTATGTGAAGAAGTTAAATTACAAAATTAAGGGAAAAGTATGAATTTTTACAACACACATTCTTTAATTTAGAACTAAAATGTATTTTCCAGAAAGAGAGTACCAACAGCCATCTACGTGCGAGTGTACTCAGAGAAGTGCAGAATAGCCCTGAATGTGATGTAAGTACAACCTGGAGTATAAATGTAGTGTCACATATGCCTTGGTGGTGCTATGGAATTCATAATTATTATATCAATTCTGCTTTATTAACAGTTATCTGATGAATACTTGCTCGTATCATAAGCAGACTGTTTTCGTCCAGGGTTTGATGTCTGATCCCAGTGAAATTTAAACTACCTAATACTGTAATGTGCATTTGTTTTCCATCGACATTATAAATGTAATGTGTTTCTCAAACTTTGAAAATGCATTAACCATGTTCTGAACTGGTGCCTTGTAATATTTTTATGAATTGTTAAATTCATATTTTAATGTATTTTTTTCCATGGTTACAAGTTGGACTTTACAACATGATTCCATAAATGAATTCCATTCTCATTGAAAGATATATCCTATGATTTATGTTGAACCACCACTGTGATATGTCATCCTTTGGTGACTGTGGTTTTATCAAACAAATAGTATTGTAATATGAATATGTAAGACTTACATTATTTAATCCTGAATAACATCTGTTAATTTACATGTAACTATGCATGTATATCTTTTCAGAGTACATACAGTCAGGACTCTCAACCATCACAAATCTCAAATTGGAGTTACGACATGGATTTGAGTTTGAATGATGTGAATCATACCACCCTAGAAACATTGACAAGAGGATCATCCAGCCCAATACGAGCACGTCTACAGAGAGATATCTTCTTCAGTAACGAAAAGCACAGTAAATTATTACAAAAGAAAAAGCAAATGAGGCTGTTGATGCTGTCTTAGATATGATTGCACCAGGACAATCCAGTCAACTGAAAAAAAATTGATCACAGAAGATCCTCCTGATAGAACCTCTTCAGCTGACCATGACACCTTGATAGACCTATATCATCAAACTACAGACAATAATTTGAGAGCCCAAATATTGGCCACTGTATCCAATGATTTTAAAAAATCTGATCTCATGAAGAAAATTCCAGGTTTAACCATCTACAAAATTGACCAAGCAAGGTTAATGTCAAAATCTCAAAACGGAATATCTTTCCCTCAACAAGTCCAAACGACAGCGTCATCGAATGGACAAAGGTAGAATTGCAACATGCATTGGATTTCTTTTTTCGATCCTTGTTTCATGCAAGTTGTATCTTTTGGGACAAGAAACATAGAGTTGGACTCAGGTGTAAACATTACCATTCCTGATGTTGTTAGAACACATTCTCTAAATGAATCAAGATGTAATGAAACCTTGTGCGAGGGGAAGCTCGCTTTACATAATCCACCCTTTTTCACATTTTGCAAGCCTGTGCTGCATCTAAAAGGAAGAATCTCCATGGTTTGAACCCAAGCACTGCTGAAGGAGAAGAGGGGTATAAAACACTTCAAGATCTTTGCATGTGGAGTGCCTATGAGGGGGATGCTTTCAAAGATATAAAAGATAAACTTCTCATCAAGTCGAACGCTGAAAACTGATTACAAGATTCATGTTCAGGATTCAGATATGTGTTTTCAGACCATTGTATTACTTGGGGACTCAGTGATCCTAATGTCCCAGAATTGCAGAGAAATCCTGTGACCATTTGCATTCTCTGCAGTGTGACAGATGTCAGATTTTGGAAGATGTTGAAGAAAAATTCTCAAAACATAGTAGCAAGTATAGAGAAAGGAACTGCAGGAAGATTCAAGGAAATCATTATTATCAGATTCATTACAGCAGATCAGAAGTGGAAGGCCCACATAATGCGATCAGTGAACCAGTGATACATTTCGTATTAACTGTCTTCAAAATCTCAAATAAAACCAGGCATTCTTGAGGTCATGGATTGTGGGCAATGTCTAAATTTCTACCCCCTTGAAGTTCAGAGAGAAGCAGACAGACTGGTTTGGACGGCGTGGAAAGAACTGGCATGTCACTGTCTGCATTTACCGAGAGATGAACATGATACAATCTGTGAGTGATATTGATATATATATCGGATACCATATTTAAAATTAAAAAGGTAAACAATCCTAAAATAAGTAAAATAATGTCTTTTTGACAATGCAAACTATGAGAACGTATTGAAACTATGTCATTTCTAAATTTAGGATTAATGGG